CCGACCCAGCAGCCGGGCAGGCCCGTCTCTGCCAATACGCAGAACACCCAGCTGAGTGGGGCACCAAATTGCACGGTGCCCATGCAGCTGGGTGCTGCATATGGGCTGTAGCAGCCCCCTCCCCTGGCTGGCCAGCCCCCTGGCCCGTGGGCTCTGGGGCAGGTGGGGCCAGCCAGGCCCCTGAAGGGTGGGTAGCCAACAGCTGGAGAGAAGCGGCTGCGTCGCTGTTCTTTGCTCCCCCGCCCTGCCTAGGGCTGCCAGCTCTCCCAACCAGACTCATTTGCAGCAGTGACCTTCGGTCTGGGAGAGCTGGCAGCCCTCCCCCTGCCCCCACAGCCCCCTCAGTGCAGGGCTGTGTAGGGCATCAGCATGGATAGGGATGGCCCTGCTGATGTGGGGCTGCTGTGGTTCCCAGATCGCGGCGAAGCTGGAGCCTCTGGGGGAGGAGGAGGAGACCCGTGCAGACCTGAACCCCTGCCGCCGGCAGCCCTCAGGCTGCACCATCTTCCTGGGCTTCACTTCCAATCTCATCAGCTCCGGCATCCGCGAGACCATCCGCTACCTGGTGCAGCACAACATGGTAAGGCCCCTGCCCCCTCCAGGTGCTGAGCCCTGCTCCCGTGTCCCTCTGTGCCCTCTTGACACTAAGTACCTGCATCCAGAGGTGCCCCTGTATGTGTCACGCTCTGCCACCCAGGCTGCTGTCATAGCCCCCCCATTCCCTTCACCCACCACAGAGCTGGGCTCTCCCACCTGATGAACAGTGGGAGGGCTCCCTGGGGTGGGGTTCTGACAGGCTGGGGTCCCTGTGCCATGCAGGTGGACGTGTTGGTCACGACAGCAGGTGGCGTGGAAGAAGATCTCATCAAATGCCTGGCTCCGACCTACGTGGGGGAGTTCAGCCTGCGAGGGAAGGAGCTTCGGGAGAGCGGGATCAACAGGTATAGGCGGGGGGGGGGTAACAGCTGGGAGGCAGGACTCCTGATTTGGGGGAGAATAGTGGCTAGTGGTTAGAGTCACGGGGGACTAGGAGTCAGGCCTTGTCAGTGCTTTAGGAGGAGAGTGCAGTCTAGTGGTTAGAGCAGGGGAGCCAGGACTCTCCTGGGTTCTGTCCCTGCTCTGGGAGTGGGGCCCAGGGATGAGAGGGGGAGGCTGGGCTCAGGAAATGATGCTCTAGAAGTGAAAAATGCTGTATTTGTTCTCAGCCCCTGGATCCACCCAGCCATGATCCTCTTTG